GCGCAGCCAGCACCCCCCTCTTTTCCACATATTGCTTTGCATCCCGCCCGCGCACCGTCGCAGCGGTTTCACACTGAGCACTACAACACAATGTCACCCGCCCGAAAGAAAGAAAGAGAGAGAGAGAGAGAGAGAGAGAGAGAGAGGCGTATGGACGACATTGCGCCGCTGCTCCGCCTCCGCTTCACCCACTTTTCCTCGGATATGAATCTCTCCTCGCGGCCGATGAGCCGTGTCGAGTCGGTAGGGAGGCGAGGGTGGATGGAAGGGAAACCGCGCGTTGCGGCCGAGAAAAATCGGGCTGAACGGAATTTTAAAAAAAAGGTTTCGCTTGATGAGGCGATTGAGCTTGAGCATCGTTTTGCGTGATCCGCCGAGAGAGAGTTTCGCGCGGGAAGACGAAACAACCTGGCCCTGTAAATGTAAAACCGCTAATTTCGTTTATTGTTGTTATTTCATTTTTTTTTCCCAAATGCGCACAGACGAAGTGTTGATATTTATTTTTTTCTTGTTGTAGAGCATATTCTGCCTTCATTTCGTTTCACGGTGTATCTCATTTAGTCGCGTGACAGCGCTCATGTCATGAAAGTGGACGCCGCACGTTATATTGCACATTGCCGTCCCTCGCGCGCACATGAGCGCGCAATGCTTCCGGATTCCCTCTTCTCCCCTTTAACGGGGTCAGTTACGGGTCGCGCCAAGTTTTAATAGTTTGCAATTAATTAAAAATGCGGGGCGGGACATGCGGGCCGGCCGGCGGCGGCGCGGGGTCCGGTCGGTATCCGTGCGCGGGCGGGCGGCGCGTGTGGCTGAGGGCGAGGACGTGATGCAGGGGCGGGAGGAGGATGGGCAGGAGGAAGGGGGCGCCCGCCATTCATTAGTATTTGTCCCCACGCGTTTTACACGACCCCGGAAGGGGAGGAGAGCGCACTGCGCAGTGCAGAGCCAAACATATAAGGGGGGAAGAAATATATGGCATACAAGGGAAATAAAATATAAACTGCACCCGGTGAACGTAAGAATGAAAAAACACCATTAGGTTAATCAACGTAATGCCA